CATGGATAAAAAGTTTTTGTAAATACTCAAGGAGATAAAAAACAGCCTATCTTAAAACAATTTAAATCAGAGTTGCTTCCAAGTTTCTACCTTGAAATAATCAATATCCAAATCTGGTGGAAGAACATGGTACAGTCCTTAGTGGGGAAGCATGTGAGCTAAGGAAATCGATGATGTCATGTACATTGTGTATACATGAATTAAAAAATAAAAAAAAATGCTATTCTAGTGATTTAACTATAAGTGTACATTTATTTGCTTTTACTTTTTTTACTGGCCAACATTTATTTTACATTCTTTAAGTAGAAACACTACAATTTCTTGTAATTATCCCAATGATTTCTCAAGTGGATGATCTGGTGACTTCTCCTCCCCGAGACAAGGATCAAGCACATGACCCAAATTAGGACAGTCAGGTAATGTGTCCTCAGGGTATGATTCTTAAGCCTAGTGGGTTGTTTTTTTGTTTGTTAAAAAAGAAAAAAAGAGGAAGAAGTAGGGTAAAAGAACATAGAAGAACAGAGTTTGCTGTTATTTCATCTGCAGTTACCTGCAAGAAAATCAAACATCTGCTGCTTTAAAGACTCTGCAACTTCCTGATTATTTTGTGGTACCAAAAGCCTTCTTTGGACTACACTTTGATTTCGTGAACTCCCTCATATCCTTCTAAGAGTTAACTTTTTGTTTCAGTTAATCATAATCTCATGATTATAATCAAAGAAAACTAACAAATTAATTGAATATCAACTTTTTTGTTCAGCAAAAAATAAGAAATTCTGTTAGAATAATATCTGAGGTGAAAAACTATCTACAAACTGAAGCATTATAGTACTAATAGATGTAGGAGATACAATTTCCATCTTTAAGAATATTGAAATCTAATAAGAATAAAATCATGCTTATAACTAAATGCAATGTAAACTAAGCTCTGGAAAGATTATTTATACAGAGAAACATTTTTAATACACTATAGCATTTCAAAGGAGGAATACCTGACAACTACCTAAAATTATCAAGGAGAAGGAAAAAAAAGAAGACTAGTATATTTTACATTATGGAAAATAAAAATTAACAATTTTATTCTAAGCCACAAACTTACTGAAAACACCTTTTTCACAATTTTATATTTATTTTTGGTTGACTATTACAAACTATCCTACATAATTAGATATATAGCAAACATCATAAATTTCAAAATTCATGATATAGTATTGTTATAAATCACATTATAGCTGTTTCTTTTTTGTGAAAAGAACTAAATGATCGTGGCTTTTTTAAATAAATAAATAAATAAATGTATAAGTTCTTTTAAGTCTAAACAATGTTTTTGAGTTTTTGTTTGTGTGCTGGTTGTGAAGTATTCTGGAATTTAGTATTGTATAGTCATAAATTTTCTTATAAATAAATATTTAATTAAAATATTATAATTAAGTATAATCATCTCTCCCCATTATGTTCAGGTTATATAATCATATTTTGGGTTATCCATAGACCCTTTTCCCACAAACCACTTAATAACTGATACAGGCCACTGAATCAAAGGAGCTTTCATAGGAACAATTTGGTATTTGAATCTTAAACTTATATGCACAAAATATACATGTAAGTATGTATATGAATATACACATGATCTTTTTAAGAATTGTTGGCCAGGCATGGTGGCTCATGCCTGTGTTCCCAGAACTTTGGGAGACTCATGTGGGCAAATTACCTGAGGTCGGGAGTTCGAGACCAGCCTCACCAACATGGAAAAATCCCATCTCTACTGAAAAAACACAAAAAATTAGCCGGCCATGGTGGCACATGCCTGTAGTCACAGCTGCTCAGGAGGCTGAGGCAGGAGAATCGCTTGAACCCAGGAGGTAGAGGTTGTGGTGAGCCTAGATTGCGCCATTGCATTCTAGCCTGGGCAACAGGAGTCAAACTCCATCTTGAAAAAAAAAAAAAAAAAAAAGAATTGTTAGTACTTATTAATCAGACATATGAACATACCTAAATAAACACCTGACTTACAAAACAAAGCCCCTTAGCTTTCAGTAAACCAGGGCCAAATAAAGTTATTCTTCTATAGACTATACCACCAAGTTACTTCCCTAGTAATAGACTTTTTAAGGATATGGTGAAAAATTCACTACGTATTAAAATGTATTTGTCAATTAAAAAATGGATTAGTGTAGTGTTGTTTGAAAAAAAATGAGTAATCTGATAACTCAAAATCATGAGTTTCTTAACATTCTACCTGTAATAGAGTCCATATATTTTATAATACCCTTCTTTATTCTTCAAGACTTTGTAAAGTTTGTAGGTTTGCGTGCATACATGCGCGTGTGTGTGTGTGTGTGTGTGTCTGTGAGGGGTTTGGGATTGTGTATGTACACACACAGTTACAGCCACAAAATTGCTCGCGATATCTGTCAATGATAATAAAATTGAGAGAAGAGTAAAATAAAACCAAATAACCATGTTAGATTATTAAGAGCCTTATATTTTATGCTAAATGGTTTGATATAAATTGTTTATGTTTTGAAGATTATATATTTTATCTCACATAGTGGTAACCAGAGTAACTAACACATGGCAGTCCCTCAAAAGTTATAATGAATGTTTAAAGAAACAATTAAATGATAGGATGTACATATAAATGGTGGTTGGTTTAACATTTGCTTCAATGTATCCTATTTGTATTTTGTAATGTCTCTGTCAAATGTACATATGAGACTGGGCGCGGTGGCTTACACCTGTAATCCCAGCACTTTGGGAGGCTGAGGCAGGCGGATCACGAGATCAGGAGATGGAAACCATCCTGGCTAAACGCTGTGAAACCTCCTCCCTACTAAAAATACAAAAAATAGCTGAGTGTGGTGGTGGGCGCCTATAGTCCCAGCTACTTGGGAGATGGAGGCAGGAGAATGGTGTGAACTCAAGAGGTGGAGCTTGCAGTGAGCCGAAATTGTGCCACTGCACTCCAGCCTGGGCGTCGGAGCCAGACTCCTTTAAAAAAAAAAAAAAAATGTACATATGAATGGTGGTTGTTGGGTTAACATTTGATTTAATGTATCCCATTTGTATATTTTGTAATGTCTTTGTTATATCAGAATGCAGGACACATTAGAAAGACACGACAGGGGAGCAGATGATGTTTAATCACTCAGGTGAGACAACAACAGACTTAAGTATGTGGGCAGCTGTGGAGCTGAGAGAAAAATGACACAAGATATATTTATTATGCATTAATTTACCTGCTTATAAGGCTGACATGTAGGATTTGGTTACCATCCAGATATGAAGTTAGGGCTGGGAGGTAAGGGAAGAGATCATGACAAAGTTCTTGTTCTTTGAAAATTGTATAACATTTTAAATGACTCATCCCATTTAAAGAAGAAAATATACATCATCAGTATTTTTCTGAGACTTCTGTCATTCTAAGAGTTCTGAAAAGAAATAGCACATGTGAATTGTATATGTTTCTGAATGAAAGAGGAAATAAGTGATTGGAAAGGTGATATATTCTGAAATTCGTCTTTTATTTTTAAATTTAGAACTGTTAGCATTTTTTATTCTAGAGATAAAATTGGTCTGCTACTAAACTAAATATGATTTCATTTTGGATGAATTCTGATTGACTGACTAGGGTACAAGTCAGAGCCCTGGCACTGCAGAATAGAGAAGCATAATCTGATATTAGCCCTACTTCCCTGCTGGGTTCTCTTCTCTGTTGAGCTAGCATGGTTTTCCTCTTGATTCTACCTCTTCCAGGTCACAGATGACAAATAGAGAAAAACTGAATGAGTATCAGCAGGATAGGAGCAAAATCATAGGGTTAACTCCCTGTTCTCTCTGACCTTTCCCAGGGCAACCAAAAAAGCAAACAAACAAACCAAAAAACAGACTATTTCTGAGTTCTTACTAATACAAGCTATTCATTCATTAGTTTATTCAACCAATACAAATGTATACCCATGATGTATCCTGCAAGTACACTGGGGTTAATTAGTTAAAATTGTACAGGAGACATTAAACAAGGTAAAACATCAAAATAAGGACATCCTTGATAAATAGTATGTATATTAATTGCCATATATTTGTTCATAACTGAAATGCATCAGAAAAGTTGACTTAGGTAATACATTAGCAATACTTATTTGACTTTATTTTTTTTTTTTTTACGAAATGAATAGCCACTTATTTCCCATTTTATTTGGTTTATAAATTATTTTTATTACACTAAATTGTTATTTAAAAGGTCATTTTTGGACTAGTGACAAGTACCACATTTCTCATTAAAGGTGTAATGATTTGAGGGAGGTTCTAACATTTGATGATGACATGTATCATTTATGGTACATTTACTGTTATTTAAATGGCAAAATGAAGCATTTATGAGTCATAATGTTATCTTCAGCTACACTGTTTTCAGTGAATGTTAGCCTCTAACATTGACAGTTTCCAAGGCATGATAAAACTTGTTTTCCATTTGGAAATAAACACCTCACCCAAATACTGTTACTTTTAGTCTTAAAATAAAAATGTTATAGTACAATTTTAAGCTAAAGAAATGCCATTTCTGATTTTATACTTAAGAATAAATAAATATATATTCATAAAATAGTTTATGGCAGTTTCTATTGTTTCACAAAGGGTTTACATATTTGTGTCCCATTGGTATAACTGGTATTGTGTGCGAAGTGTTTGTGAACAAAACAGTTGAATTGTTTCATTAAAATTGGCAGGGTGAAATGCTTTAGCGCCAAATTAAATCAAGTAAAATGAATTACCAGGACATTGTAATTAAAAGAAATAACAGCAACTTAACATTTTTATGCCAGAAGCATCATTATCAGGGTCCCCCTGAATTTGGGGGTACTAGGCATACCATCTAGAAATGGCTTTTGATTTATTTTCAGTGTTCCCCAGAAAAAGTGCAGCAAGTATTTACTTCGGTGCTTTTTTTCCCCCATGAATAACCACCAATAAAAAATGTATCATTTCTTGTCCTCCAGGCAATACAGCTAAAGTATACATTGAGATTCAGGATGAAAATAATCATCCCCCAGTGTTTCAGAAAAAATTCTACATCGGAGGTGTATCTGAAGATGCAAGAATGTTTACTTCTGTACTCAGAGTGAAGGTATGAGAAATTATGTTAATATACAGAACTAAAATAAAAGGAAAGCTTGGGTTTTGCAGATAAGCTGTAACCCTATAGCTTGCATTAACTGCATACTTATGCTGTATAAACAAAAGCCTGAAACTTAGAGCTATATTAGTTTAGTTATCTAAACTCAATACAGATTATATCAGGTAAGCACTTAGCAACTTTTTGAGTTTTATTTTACTATGAAAACGGTAACAAAATATTTATGATGTTTTACATTGAATAAGATGTTGAAATGTAGATATTTTCTTAGTGGTTTGTATTCCTCCAGTAGGATAACTCAAAAGATTCTCAAAATGGAATCTCTAATGACAAATATTAAATTACCACTTCTAGTAGAAGAAATAGTGTAATAAATTAATGATTTTTTTTCTGAAATGTTTGAATTTTAAATGCTGATTGAGTGAAAGTAAAAAAATAACGCTACAAATTTTAGTACTTTATTAAAAGTTACAAAGATCTTGATGTCTCAGAAAATGTTGGCTTGCTTGGAATTTCAAAAATGCAGTATCTAAGACCAAAGTTGTAAATTTTCCATTTTTTTCTTTATTTATCATCAAATGTTTATTACTAATGACTATAATTGTTTATAATCAAATGTTTATGACTATTTCTAATCAACTGTGCATTACTGATGTTTTATTATTACGAAAAAATTTTAAAGATTGCATTTTACTGAGGAAAAAGTTTAGATGCTAAACATTTTGGATTCTCAATTGCAGAGTTAATTTGGGACAGCATTTCAATGGTTAACTTGTAAATAGCTGTAAATTGCACATAAAACCTAAACATCTCTGGCAAATCTAGCTTTTGATTGCCTCTAGTTTTGCACATGAGTAATTGCCTTTATTTTCCTATTACCAGGAGCATCATGATTAGAGCTCTTCTTACGTGTAGTTTTATCACCTATCAAACACTCTCAGTAAGAAAAAAATTCAACCTAATTGTGTTGGGCTTGCAAAATAGCTCTTCCACTATGCCAAGTACAGACCCCTGATCTGAATCAGCAGTTTAACTAAAAGTATTCCACAAATCTGTCACTCATTATATTTAATTTATGTTGTTATCCACAAGTAAGCATCCTTTGTAGCTGATTTTTATCTCATTTTGTATTTTAGTCTCATTAACTCTTAATTGATTTAGTTCTGTCATTTAGTCAAATATGTTTGAGTACCTATAATGTGCTAAACACTGTTCTAGAAGTTGGATATAGAGCAATTGAAAAAGCTAACAAACAATCAAAGTTTCCACCTGAGTAATGCAGGCAAACTAGTTGAAGAAATGAATAGATCAGTAAGTTATGTAGTGATAAATTCTAAGGGGAAAAAAAAGGTTGACAAGGGAAGAATGAGAGTGGTGCTATTTTAGATAATAAAGTCAAGATAGTTCTTTTGGGATAAAATTGAAACAGTGACCTGAATAAAAGAAAAGATCAAGACTTGTGGATTCTTAAGTGAGCAGGATTCTGGGATTTCTTTGTAAAGCCCTAAAGGTAGACAGGGAGCTGGAGGCTAGTGTGAATGAAAAAGTCTGATAGGAAATGAGATCAGAAATGTACCTGGGGCTAGAATATGGGATTTGTTCTAGGTGTGTTGGAAAGAAAGCTTTTGAATGATTTAAACAGTTACGACATAATCCAATATAAAAAGATTATTGTAGATGCTGTGCAGGGAGGATGTCAGGAATGGGTAACACAGTGTTTTGGACAAGTAGAGTTAAATGCATGACAAGTCCAGGCAAAATGTGACAGTAGGTTGAATGATGTTGTTAGGCTATGGAGACCTTGAGAAGGGGGTTAAAATATAGAACATATAGGATTTGCTGATAAATTATACAGGGGACATTAGGAAAAATCAAGAATGACTTGGTGATTTTTGTCCTGAACAGATCCCCGTATCTCCTCTACTGCCTATTGTGATGGTAGTAATCAAGGTTCATGAGACTTTTTCAATACAAAAACCTAATTCTTGGCAAGGTAGTTGCAAATGCTGACCTAGACTTGAGAGCGAAAAAAGGGGTCAAGATGAAATCACGCAGAAAATGGGTTTGACAAAAAAATACAAAGACTAAGTTTTGGGAGCTTCAGCACTTACAGATCAGGAGAAGAAGGGTGTGGAGATACTGAGATGTTGCTGCCATGAGGTGGCAGGAGTACGGGGAAAATGCAAGACCCCTGAACCACGGAAAGAACAAGATTGATAAAAGAGAATTATTGACTGTCAAATGCTACTGTGATTAGCATGTCATTGTGGATTTTTACATCAGCACTTATGCTACTAATCCTATAGTGTGATGTAGGAAAAAAAGATAAGCCAAATGTTAAACTAGTCCACTAATAAAGGAGATTACTCAAAAGGCATGTGATGACTATAACAAGGAAATTTAATGGGTGTCATTATCTGATGTCATTCACTTCAGAGGAATTGGGACTGAGTGTCAAAGGGGTTAGAAGGATGCTTGCTCTGTACTCCTAGGCTCTGTGCTATGTAAATTATGGGAATCACTACTGGGGGATCTACAGCAAGCAGCGTCTTTTGTCAAGGAGGGGTATAGGGAGAAAGAAGGAATCAAAAAGTATAGGTAACACTAAGAGGGAAAGTTGAATATTTAGGGATTTTGTTGATGATGGACTGTGATTTCCAAGGAATTATGAGGAAAGTTTGGTAGTAGGGTAAAAGTCCAGTGAGATACTGAGTCTTAATAAGGTGTGTAAAGACACTGCATTGAAAGAAGCATCTGGGTGGGGAGATATGCCCTGGACTTCTTGTGATGAGGTATACAGTGATGGGAGTGATTGTGTCTCCAGACTACTGAGAACTCTAAGGAACCCTCCCCCTTCAAACAATCAGAGGGTTATTCAGACTAGGGAAAGGGGTCCTTTCTAGGAAACCAACTTCATGCAATATAATACACTAGGTACTTTATACAAGAGTCAGAGAAAGAAGGGAGAGAGAGAGGCAGAGAGGGGGAGAGACAGAGACAGAGAGAGAGAAGAAAAGTTTAGTAATGTGTTGATGCAAGCGTATGCTATAATAACAAAGTCAAGTAGGAGAGCACAAATTGTCATGCGGATTCAAAGGAAGAAAACATTTCAGTTGGTGAATGAACATAAAGTTTTCCTGGAGGAAGAATTTAAGACTGGCACTGAAGTGTGGTTAGATTTTTTTTTTCCAAAGTGAAACCTATATGAGGAAGACAGTCTAAGTAGACGAAACAAACTAAGTAAGCCAAAACCCAGAAGAAGCAAAGTGCAGAGCATATTTGAGTGATAGGAGGCAAGAGATTTAGGAGGGGACGGGAGTAATAAATCCTTAGTGTTTAACAATTTCATTTGCTGCCTTTAACCTTGAAGTCTGGAATCTTCTCCTTTCCAGAATTTAATCAGAGCATGAGTTAAGCAGTTCTTCTCATTTTATACTTAGAGCAACAAAAATATTAATGGAAACAACACTGAATCAGGGCCAGCTCATCTGTGGTGGTTGAAGGAAGGAAAGATGATTTTAAAAATGGGAAGTAGCCCATGATTGTGAAAGAGGTGTTTCTACCAATTGCTATACAATATTAGGTAATGGTAGATCATCTACCATGCTAGCAAGTTTGTTTTTTTGTTTTGTTTTGTTTTGTTTTTTTGGTCCATGACATAATACAGAATGATAAAAGTTAAATGTAAATATGTACTTTGTGTAAGAAGGGAAAGAAGAATTGTTACATAGAATAGGATTGACAAAGTAAGAGAAGACTTTGAAATAGCAATGAATAAGGCTATACTAGCTTATAAGATGAGTAGTGAATTTGGGGCATTATTTTTAAAATATGCTACAGGTAAAGTGACACAATAAAACCATTGTAGAAATGAAATATCCAATATAAGTAATAATATAGTAAAAACAGTTGTACATCTGCTCTGAAGTGGTATACCTAATATACTTAAAAACTTGTTCTTAGTTCATTTTTTAAAGAAAATATATACTATGTTTCTACCCTGTACTGAAAATATGGAAGCAGACAAAATAGACTCTCTCTTCCCTTACAGAAGCCACATTCTAGTAAACTAGACCCCTTCCCCCAAAAAAGTAAATAAATAAAAACATATGTTATAATTAAATCTAGATGGACAAAATACCTAATATAGTTTCAGTTCACATTTACACTATACTGAATGGAAAATAATATAATTATCTGAAATTTAGGTGAAGGTAAGTTTTAAATTATTCTGTTTGTACCACTGAGTTAATTTAAGTGAAGTCTCCTTGGATTTTATGTACTCACTTTATCTGAGTATAGTAGACACCATTAGTTGGCCATTTCTCCTTCCTCATGCTTTAACAGAAGTTCAGTTTTATTTAGGCATTATTTTTGGGGATCATGTGCTTCAGGGGAAGTGAAGCCTATTCCAAGGTAGTGAAAAATGACTGGTCAGAGTCAGTCATTCCTGTCCTGTTATCTTTGCAAATGATTGGTTTGCACGTCGATATGTGAGTCATTTTTGAGCAGTTATTGTTAAGGGAGGTCTCCTGAGGATTTTCTAGGACAAAGACATATAAAGACATGTAGATATTGGATTTCTGGCTCAATAATTTGAATGCTCATGTCACATTTAAGTACATGAATTGTATCAAAAGTGCACAGAACAAAAAAAGTTATCTGAGAAGATCTATATTTACTATGGTTTTATGCTGGGTATCTATGTCACAACTGGTTTTTCCAAGTTGACTTTTGTTAGGGACAAGTAATCAGTCATTTTAATTATGAGGAGTGCAAAAAGAAAATCCAATGGTAATTTTTTTTTCTTTAGTCTTTAATCCAAGTAGTTAACATCAGTTAAAATGTCACTTTTAGTATATACTTAAAATAATTGAACGTAAGGATTTGATAAGGTATTTGTACACCGATGTTCATAGAAGTGCTATTTACAACAACTAAAAAGTAGAACAACCCATACGGGGCCAGGCGCTGTGGCTCACACCTGTAAT